CAACTCCCGTAGGATAACGGCGGTGGCAACGATACTATCACGATAGTCATCATCCATAGCGTCGTGAAACTGTCGGAGAGCGGGCATGCAGTGAAGCATATATTCCACGGCTGAGTGTTCATCCAAGTTGGGGAGAAGCTGTCCATGGTAGAGTATGCCTTGTGGAGTCTTGTACTGTGGCAAGCGGCTCAAGTGACGGGCAGCTACTGCAAAAATGGCGTTTAGAAGATGAGGGTGGTCCCTGGCCCTGGTAGGTACAACCAGATGAAAGTGCCGACTCTCATCACACAAGTCAAACTACACATTGTGAGCAAAGGAGATAGGAAGTACTGAAAATCGTGCTTACCCAATGAGATATTTCTTCAATGTAGTACCTGAGAAGACATGCCTCTTGAACATCCTCTAACGGAAATACTCGTCTGGTGTCGTCCGAGGCTGACATACATGGTATGGACGATGCTTGGATAGTGGGGGACCCCTGGGAGAGTGCTTGGGCGAGACTAGGTCCTCGCTGGTTCCCCTTTCCGTTTCCGTATATGCCAGGGTTAAGCTGACTGATGGAGGGCAAGTACGGCGCTTGTGTGCTTGGCGATTCTGGCTGCTTAAGACGCAATCCTTGGTCGCTGCTAAAGCTGTCTGATGTCATTAAGTTTGGGAAAAAGCCAGAGTCCTCGGCCAGGATTGGGCGCAAGTCTGTGTCCATGGCAGAGCTGGTGGATGAATGGGATGGTGACGACTGAGTAGGTTGGGTTTCATCTAGGGGACGACCTTCTGACGACACTACTCTCGGTCCAGCAATTGTCGACCAAGGTGGTGACGAGCCTTGATCTGGAGTCAAGGGTTCTCGTGCAGCAGAGCCACCACGAGCGTGAAAGCGGACTGAGGGCCAGGTATCGTCACGTTAGTATCAGCGAGGTGTCGACTAGACGGGAAATACGCACAATGTCTAGCTTCACTATTGACCCATTGCTGATCTTTGGAGAAACTTGCAACCGATCCATGCTTGAAGACCGTCTTTTTGACTGGCCGTGAGCATGGAAGCTTCTTCAGCTGGCATCGCCGACATTTGGGGCGCTCTTCGTCACCTGCAGCAGTAGAGTCAGGGTATATGCTTGAGGGAAAGAAGTCATCTCTATGGGAGAACGCAAAAGAAACTTCTAAAAAAGACCCTGCTCAGAAATTTGGGTGCATTCTGCTCACATTTGACATGTTTTTCTATTTCTAGGTCAGTATAGTAGCTACAGGCCTCAGGCGCTGAGGAAGGGCCTTGGTTGTACCAGACAGTACTCACCTTTGCATTGCAGACAAGGTTGCTTTACCGCAGGCATTTCCGGCACATATCACGCCGCCGCTTCTGTACACAATGGAACAACGGGACAGATCCGACAAAGATTAGATTACAATCGAATTGGACCCCCAGCGACTGCGAAGGACAAAATCGGCGGTACGCGGATTGTCAGGTACGAATGCGCAAATCCGGGGAAGAATCAATGAGGAAAGAGGCGGCGAAGTTGAGCCGAAATTGGCAACGGCTAATGAAGAGTCCAATGGACGTAAGCAAAAGCCGATGACCCGGGGCTCATGGGAATCCTGCGCTTGATGATTGGCAAATGGAGGCCATGAATGGAGGGAGGTGGAGGCGGGGCCGCATCAGTCCAACACTGGTACTCCGGAGTCCGTACGCTCAGTGGCTAGGGAACCGGCAGTTACTGTCTCAGTCTCGCCTGCGTACCTGGGATGATTGAGAATGATGTCAACGGCACAAAGTGCGGAGTACTGGTGATGGTACAAGATTGAACAGACCAGACTCTTCGAAGAGGGAGGACTTGGTGTTGTCCAATGTCGAGCACTGAGGCTTCAGGCAGCGCTCGAGCACCTGACTTGACTAGTCGAAGTCGATTGGCTGGTGAGACGTTCTGGTTTCATGGCAGGTGTAATCGACCAGACATGCTCCTTCCCAGATTGGCGTTGGTTGAAGCACCAAAACCACCCTCTTCGAAGGACCGTGAACTTGCCAACCCTTCACCCGGACGGATCTCCAAGCGTGATAGACAAGATCTTGTCTTGATCCAGACAGCAGAGTTGCGCGCCTATTCCACTTCATTTGCACCCCCTAGTCACAGTGAGACTTCAGAGCGCTTGCAGTCTCGCATGATCGTCATTGGACTCTGTCTGCCAATAAAGCTAACGCTAAAGTCATGTAGTACACAACGCTTATGCAGTGCGACGACCACGACGGATTCCGGGGCCGATTGAAAAGCACATTTACGAGGGCAGGCAGGGACTTCAACAAGGAAACGTGAAGGAATGTGGCTGCTTGGGATTCGCCTCATGCACGAGATCAGCCGCACAACATGAGTCACGGTGGCGAGGCCTAGGCAGCACATTTAGTTATCGGAGACTCTGAGAGTGAGAGGGAGGCTGCTTCAACTCTTGCGAGATTAAAGGTCTTTTACAATTGGCACTCATCATCCTGGCAAGGGTATTTCTCGAACCTGTACCACAGATCCTGCACTCGAGGTCTTGTGTGTATAAGAACATAGAGACCCTCACTTACCTCATCGAGGAGCTTCGACGCCGTGTACAATACATCAGGGACATGGCAGACACAAAAGCATCCCGCCAACCCGTCACTGGCTCATGCCATTGTGGAACCATTAAATATGCCGCCTTCCTCACCTTGCCCCCGACTCACAATGAATCGAACCCGCCAACCAAGCAAGACCAGCGCATCTACCGATGCAACTGTACCATGTGTCACAAAGCAGGCTTCTTTCACGTCAGGGTCGCCAACAAAACCGACGATTTTCTACTTCTGTCGCCACTCAATCCGTTACAAGAACTAGGCGATTACTTAATCCACAACAAGGTCCTTCACTGGCTCTACTGCAAAACCTGCGGTGTACGGTGCTTTACATTCATGGGCACGGGGGAAGTGGTGGACCTTGATCTTGCAGAGCTGCGTGTGCCTGGGTATACTGACAAGGGCCAAAAAACTCGAGTTTGGAGAGCCAAAGAGGACGGAGGCCATCCTGAGTATGGGACTTATTTGAGTTTCAATGGTAACACGGTTGATGCTTCGTCAAAGTCATTTGATATGAGGGAAATGGTTGAGCAAAACTGCATTCAGTTTTATGATTATTTGGCAGAGGATGAGAAGCGACAACCTGTACGGTACGGCCGGCCGCACCAGAGCGGTTGCTATTGATACGTGTGCAAAAGCGACAATGAGGGCGACCAAGAGTATTTTCCATCGAACAGCTCTCGGTGTTTGGTCTGCACACTAATCGCACACTAAAGTGTCGTATTTGTCGCGTCGGAAACAACGCTGACATTGTGACGTGGCCTTGGCATCTCACGTCTTAGGATCCAACTTAAGCCGCTCTCAAATCCATCCTCATAATTCTGACTCACCGTTACTTAAAATACCCATTTTATAGAATAGAACTTGAAGGCTCTTTAGCAAGGCGTAAACTTAAACTCAAGTATGCGGCAGTCAACAGAATCGCAATCGCCCACAGCTGCCACAACATTTTCCAGCGTCACAATCGAGACTACGCTGCCAGTCCATCCGTACGAACCACTAGAAAATCGGAAGGCCATCAAGACAAAACGCCTGTTGATACGGCCACTGAAACTAAGCGACCTAGAGGATCTCCATGCCTTGAGGTCTCAGCCCGAAGTGGCCGCCTGGTCGTCCAAAGGAAAGCCGAACGAGTCGATAGATATCACCCGCTTGGAGCTAGAAGAAGGTCTCAGTAGAGATGTGTACCAATTTGCAATATGCCTGTCTAACGGAGAGATGATCGGAATCGGCGGTTCGCATCGGAGGCAAGGAAATCTCGGCTGGCCAGTCATTGGCTACGCAATCCGTCACGAGACCTGGGGAAACGGGTATGCCACTGAGTTTCTTGCTGCGTTTTTAGATCGCTGGTGGTCATTGCCAAGAGAGGCCGTGACTATTCCTGTAGAGAAGAGCACGGTTAGGGGGAATGGGCCGATAAAGGATGAACGTATTGTCGCAACAACGACGAACAAGAACACTGCAAGTCAGAAGGTCATGACCAAGAATGGCATGGAGCTGAATCGGATTTGGGACGAAGATGATTGGTCTAGACCAGGCCAGAAAGTGACAATGTACGGCTATATCGCGAAGCCTCACGTCGAGGATGCCTAGCCCAGACCATAATAAAGTCGATATTGTACAGCACATTGTCTGTAGTTTAGTTCCTCTAAATCTATGCCAACGTTCCCGGTGTCCTCTCGAGCCCATCAAGATGAAACGGCCTACAGCTCCTTTCCCAGAACGACAAAATACAAGTCATCCCGCAAAGCCTGCCCGTTCGCAAGAGATGCATAGGGAACGGTCTTGTCTGATCCGTTTTGGTGTACCCCCTCCGAATATACCAATCAATGAGTTCCTTTCCCGGCCAAATGACCAGCATGTCCATGACTCGCACGCCGAGCTCATCCCTCGCCATGGTTTCTGCCTCGGCCAGAATTCTTCTCCCCAATCCACCTGCTTGTCTGGTAGGATCTACAACAAAGAGGCCGAAATACCGATCCGCCGGCTTTACTCTCAATCTCGCAGCATCCTGCTAGCGCACCAGCCTCATGGTGTGCGACGAGTACCAAGCCGTTGCATCTGTGGCTTTTCGGTACGTCAAATGTATTTTTGTTGACCCCATTTGTTTTTGTTACAGATGAGTTGTCAGGCAGCGGTCTGTGGTGGTGTAAGTGACGCGTATGTCGAACTAGACCGGGCGAAGACAGCAATCATTCCACCATCTTTAGCACCTATATTGACGAGATTGAAGAAACAGGGGCTTTCCGGCCACAATGTCAGGCGGAGGGCGCACAATTGGGTCAAAATTGACAAGTTTTTGACGTGGACGCCACCTCTAGCCAGCTAGGGAAATAACTCGGGCCTACCAGTGACCCCAGACGCTTCCAGATCTTCGCAGTTACCGTACCGACTATGGCCTCTAAACTTGTGAAAGAAATATATAATTTAGCGAGTTGGTCGATGCGCCTTCTGTTTGTCAATAGGCTAAGTTTTGGATGTCGGAAGGTGCTAGTACACGATACTGTTCACCAGCCAGTATCGTGACGCAAAGCGATTAAAACGACGGCAGCCTTGCCCGCGGGCCGCGAGCATTTATTAAGCCTCCACGGCGCAGGCAAAAGGCCCAAGCATCCGTAAAATGTAACGACCTAGCATCAAAGACCAAGTCGGAAAAATGTGGACAGATTGAAAACGCCAGTCAATTCGTCAATTCAATACAAAAATTAAACCAATGAGTTCCATACTCTAAAGCTGACGCAAGACAGCGGATGTACTATTCCTAATTGCGCCGAAAGATTCCACCCAGCGAAAGGGGAATCAGCTCGCCCTGTATCCATCGGGTATATATTCTCCTGATATTTTTTACAATAGAAAGGATTTTATGGTGTTGTCCCACTACATAACCTCATGTACCCTGCTCACCTCTTCTGACGGCGACTGCGGACAAAGCTCATGATTGAAGGGCCTCTCTCGGCAGAGGCACCCATATCAATGGATACTCGACGGTCTTTGACAAACTTTGGCCAAGTGTTGGTAAGAACCAAGTACTTGATGTGTTTCTCGGACTCGTCAAAAACAGCCTCGTCAAAGGACTCGGGAATCTCGCCCCAGAATTTGACGCCGTCGGAATATGAGGTTCCAGCAGGGCTTCCCTTTTCGGATGCTTGGGATGAAGTTTCCATAGAAGTCTTCTGGGCGGTTTCTGGAATATCGAAAGGGGTGGCAGGGTCGACTTCAACCTTGTCGCCATACAGGGTGCGAGCAGATGCCTCGAACACGGCCTCCATCCTCTTGAGCTCAGTCGACGAAATGTTGATGGGGAAGTCGGCGTCCTTGATGCTGATAAACTCTGCGTAGATGCGAAGAGCACTGTTGAACCTCTCACGGATAAGCTCCCTGGTGGTGCTGTCCTTGACACCATCACGGACAGGCCGAGGCAGGGACGTCTTCCATTCAGCAACACTGGTCAGGAAGGCAATGTTTTCACCAGAGAAATCGCGGAGAGACGAGAATTCCTGAAGCGGGGTGGGATTGCGCTCCAGGACGTACTCGAGTGCGCTCATGGTAAGGATACTCTCTTGTGAATCGGTGGATTTGACGGAGCCGACCGTGGACTTCCGGCCGCTCATTAGGGAGTCGATTGCTGTGGAAGCGGTATTTACAGACTTGGCGCTGGAGCCAGTGTTCTCATTCTTTCTCTCCCATTGAGCGATCGAGTCCAGAGTCTCTTGGCGGAGGGTAGAAGCTTGCAAGACTTCCCAACAGGGCAGGAAAACAGTCAGAATTTCCAAGACCAATATCGAGATGCATATCCTATAACAGCGTTAGAAGAACACAGCCATGAAATTGCAAACGAGAGTGTCGCACCATTGAGGAGGCAAGAAGTATTTGTTGACTGGTTCCATGGCAGGGACGTAAAGGGCAATGAGCCACATGGGAGTTGCGTGTAGACTAATACCAGTTGACCCATCATCAGCATGGCTTCCTTGGACAGATGTGACGAGATGAACCTACCCAGCCACCGCGCAGCCAATAGTCTGCATTCTCCAGCCATGAGTGTCGTTGATGTTGCGAGACTTCCACAGAACGCAGGGGGCGACAATCCAGGCCCAGACAAATTGCCAGAAGATGCCAGGCCACCATTCCCAACCTCGACCCATTTCCATCTTCTGCTCCATTTCCGTGCCGTAGACTTCGGTGCCGGCAATTCCCCAACCGCTGTGCCACTTTCGGGAGATCAACCACATGAGAACAGTAAGGAACAACTGTTGCGCAATATTTAGAAGGCTGACACTAGCGTTTCATCATTCATCGAGGCTTTTTCACTGACCTGGAAGCCCATTCCCAGACTAACAAGGATCACCATTCTCGTCGTGTAGTTCAAGCTCCGGAAGCGATCCAAGATGCTCATTCCCCTCCTGGACCTGGTCGGCCCGTCCCCCTGGCGGTTGAGATATTTCTTTTGTACCTTGGCGACATAGAGGAACCTGCTGTTGGAGGCGTGAAACAAGGCAATACCAAGAGGCAAGTAGGTTCCCATGATCCAGTATTCACAGTCGCCCGGAGTCAAGGCGCCGACCACGTAGCCAAGCTGGACTGAGAAGTAGTACAAGTGAAGCAGAACCACGGCAGCAAGGGACAAGCCGATACCACGAATACGGAGAATAGGCGTGTCGCGGCGATAGACCAGATATCCCATGCCGCAGAGGAGCACAAATGTCCACACACACGCCCATGTTATCCACCAGATACCGATGCCGTCCAAGTTGGGTTCCTTCTTGGAATCGGCCGTTACTCCGAACTCGGACCCCATGATGCCGGCGACTGTTGGCAGTCCGATGTATAGTTGGGAAGGCGAGGGATTGTCTAAAAGAAGGTCTGCACGTGATTTATAGAAACGACTTGAGACGGTCTGCCCAAGCAATGCGCCAGAGATGTTTTCCTACCAGTGTCTCGCTTGACAACTTCGCAAACAATACACATGGGAGGCTCAAGCTTTCGTCTCGTTAGCTTTTAGCAATTGCGCAACAGCGGAGACGATTCAGCACCAGCCATAGGAGGGGACTTTTGTCGTCAAGTGAAGACGGAATGAGAGGCGCTCCAGAAGACTCTTTCGGCTCGTGATCTGGGGACAGGCCCTTTACAAAGAATGGCGGTTATAAACAATATATGTTCAAAGCAGGAGGGTTCGGCAAAAGAAACGTGAGGATGGATTAGGAAATGGGAAAAATGTCAAACGGGCGAGACGGCAGAGTGAGTACAACATGACTTGCCCACCCCCAGTACGCAGTTGTATCCTTTCTTCTTTCGATTCGGCGTAGAGCATTCCGAATCCACGCCATGGTGCCCCTAGTCAAACAACAGAAGCACTCACTGCAGCCCTTCCTCCCTTTGTCTCTCTTATCTGCGCCCGCGACGCTCCCTCCCATAACTTGAGTTCTGCGTTGAGACGAGACGTGGGGATACAGGACGGGGAAAGCCCTTGCTTCTGCTTCCCGCCCTGGCCATTTGTACGACCCGCGTAACCTTGTTGGTCGCCTACTGGCCTGTGGTGGGTGTTGTCTCGCTCGAGGTGATGGATGGACGACACGCGCTACGCGCTGGACAAGACAGCTGAGCCGAAATCTTGTGCACGTTGGGCTCGAATGTGTTCGGCCTAGTCTCAATGACCGGCTTGGTTCCAGCAAGAGACGTGAACCGCGGCAAGGAACAGCCGAAGCCCTATCTCCTACCTCCGTAGGGGATCACGACAATCATCGGGCGCCGGCAACACTGGACTAGACGTTGGCTCATTGAAGGACCGGTTGGTTGGGCTCTCACTTCCGCCGGCCCCAGCGAGCCGTAACTCTTAGCACCAGGGCCAACCTGGACGAGGAGAAACAGTTGTGTGGGAGCAGCCAGGGTCACCCCTGTGCCCAGGGCTCGACCGAATGGAATTCGTCAAAACTGGGTTTCGATCCCGAGTCAGAAGCAAATCGACCCGATCAATGGGCGATTAGCACTGGAGCAAGGAGATGATCTTCCACCTTCTCTTTTTAAAAACGAGCTTGGGAAGTGTAGTGGAGACGGAAATACCCCGAGATAAAGTTATCCCAGCACACAATGAGTTGAGATGGTGGAGACGGGACATGTTCTCGCGCTAGAATCCAAGAAGCCACGCCATACTCCGTACTACGCCGTACTCTGGCACTTGGACGGCGTGGTGTGCCGGACGGAATGACTTGTCGGGGAGGGTGTGATGGGGGGAGGAGACGAAATATCTACCCAGAGCGGCGCTCGCAGCGTGGCCCCGAGACGAAATGCTAATAACCATCTGGCATCCAGTCAGGCAATGGCTTTATCCCCGGTGATACCAAATCTCTACCATCTCGCGAATTAATTACCTCATCTTGGAACACCGGCAAGTAAAAAACCGCCCCGGAATTTGCCCTGGCGAATGGCGGGTGGCCCCATAGTTCATTGTGTCTCTTGTTTTTCCAGCTTTGGGCAGCCCCTTGCGTACTTGGCTTGGCTGGGGTGACATCTGATGAAATGCCCATACCACTGTCGAAAGATTGCCAAACGAGTTTAGCGATGGAGAATTTACATCTCTGTGTTTCTTCCTTGCCGCCCAACAAGGTACCAACCCGCCGTTGCCAATGCCGTCCCAAGGTCACGGGACCGAAGCAATTACAAGCCTCGCTCACATGGCGGCCCGAGTGTGTTGTGTACGACTCTTGTTGGACTAATCAACAATGTCGAAACACTTGAATGAGTCCACGACGTCCTCGATGGAACAACGATCCCCGGGGCGTTGTTCAATGCATCTATACCCCATGCTACTCCCCATCGTACAATCGGCGGAGTTGTTTTGCAACAGTCACGAGATAAGACGGAACAAAACAGCCACATGCGCCAAATTCGTCAACTAGCAACCGGCGAGTTTTGCCCCAGAAGACCTCCAACTCTGCCCAAGGCAACTGCCGCAGGGCAGCCGAATGAGTGCATGAGTTCATGTCAGGACGAGCTGTTCACGTTTCTTTTCTTATTAATAGGAACCAGTTATCGACTCAACATGCTGGTCTCAAATGCATGCAGGCCCTTGACCCCGGCCGGGAAACGTTTTTCTTTTTGCTACACGAAACCGGCCTGTTGGGGAACAACACTTGAGCGCGGCAAACATAACCAACGCCTTCACCTCTTCCATGAGGATTTTCAACCAATAATACACCAGCTGGCGCAGGACTTGACCAAATGACGAATTCGTGCCTACAGTGGCTTGTCCAACCCTGTCCTGGCCGCACCAGGTCGATGCAACCCGTATGTTATACTACGCGATACACACCCGACCCTCGTCAGAGTGAGGTGACATCTGGTCCAGTCTGTTTGTGATGTTTGTCGACTAAAGACCATTATGGACCATCCAAAACACATGCGGGCTTGACGCTACATGCAGGGACGGCGGAGGAGCAGGGAGCAAAAAGTGGGTGACGGGAAATTGGCCAGCATCTCATGCAGGACAACGGCCTAGAATCCGCTGTCGCAAGTGTACGGAGCAAGTAACTACGTATTGCTCTTGCATCCATCAGAGCCTTTTGCCCAATTGTCGGCATAAACCCCCCTGATCGAACTACATACGATCTTTGTCCTCTAGGGATCCAGACATCCATGCCGTCACTCCGGCTCATATGTCTAGTCTAGTCTTAAACTTTTCAGGTGCCGTTACCAGGACCTAGAGGTTTCATGCGGCGCGCAACACACGGGGAGAAAAGGGATAGCTCTCGCACAGAGGAGGCGCCTCTGGAGATGCTTAGAACCCGACCATCCGAACCGCTGCTAACAACAGTTCGTGACCCAAATGTGTGGCTCTTGGGCCCATGTTGCCAAGGCGGATGACCTGGGTTGCGCGGGATCATCCCTTTTCCCCCGACGACCAAGATCAGGGACAGACGACTTTGCAACCTATCCTTCAATATAATACGTGCAGAGGGAGCATTCTATCTGCAAGACCCTCACTTTCCTGAAACCACGTTTAAGTTTATGGTGCATTTGAGCCGTTGAGTAGATGGTATCATTGATATGCAACAACTACGAGGAAACTTGGTCAACTTGCCCGTACTATGTAGTTACTTCAATGTGTTTGGCGACTGTAGTATCCAATCCGACTTATGAGAGAACCCCGATGGCCAAAGACGGTTTTTTCTCAACAGCCATCACACTAGTCTGCCTATTGTTTCTACGTATTCTCCAGCTGGTTGGTAGTCGCCGAGCATGGAGTGAAGTTCCCGCCATTCAACCTCGGAGGGCACAGGCCGCAGGCGTCAACCCTGCCGGCCCGCGTGCGGCCAGAGTCATCTCCCAGGGAGATTTATTTTGGCAGGTTCTTAACAAGACGACCCCGGTCCAAAAAAAGAGGATACCCGTGACAAATACCTTTGTACTCCGTACGACGTGAGCATTTTCTGTTTGGGCGCCTCGTAGTGAAACCATCGGCTGACTTTTACCACTCCCTAGTTGTAGGCCGATATCAATAGCCCAGCTTCGGCGACAACAGTCTTAAATGGCCATACAAATTATTGATGACCACGTTACTCCAAGGGAGTTTTCGGCAATTGGGATGAAGAAGAAACTACTAACCACTCGAGTTGGCCTGGCGCACGGACTATCGAACGTCGGGGTTAAAGGGGACCAAAGACGGGTAGATGGTGAAACACGAAACAACTTTTTCAAAGTTATAGTAGTAGCAATTACCCTTCATTCTGCTGCCGAAAGCCTACAGTCGTATATGCAAGGTCGTTTAATCAGGTTCCAACGTTGCTGGTTGTGAACTCACATTACCGTGAGTTACATGGACCGGGGCTCTGACAAGTCATAACTGCCCATCGTCTACTCTGTAAACTAGTCCTCAACGGTGAATAATCGCTAAACGACTCAATACCTGCGTATTTGAAACAGTTTGGAGGTTGAGGGACACCCCGACAAGGAGAGGCTTTCTTATGTGTAGACTTGATCCCACCCACTACCCTAGATTATGGCCCGAGATGCTGCGACGACGAGGACACAAGAGGAACGATTTGAAGCAGAGAGACATATGGCGAGCTGTTAATTGTGTATGCACACATGGCAAGATCGGGTATTTATTCAATCTCGTGTCCAACTGTGTGCGGCTTGCAGCAATCAGCGACTCTTGATCAGAGGTACGACACTCTGTTGTTCAAAGGATGAGGTAGAATGCAAAAAGTGTATTCGAAATAAACCTACGAAACGCGGCTACGGCTGGGCGAAGCATTCGTGAACCAAAAGGACACGCCACAGCTACTTGCTGGTTCCGAAACGCTGTAGTTGAATGTATCCATGTGTACATATTTATCGTCTTAACTCGCGGATCAAGTTGTAGTCTAAACCACTTGCTACACATGGAAAGATTTGCAAAGGCACTTACTTACTCTGTTCCTCAACTCCACCAAAGGTCTCATCCGTGCTCAGTCTACTGCAGATCTCGCTCTCAAAGCAATCCAGTCTATTGACACTGTTTTTGATTCATCATGGAAATTTCTCAAGGTGACAATGCAGTCGAAAGGATCGAGTTGTTCCATCAGTTGTTGATGCAACTATCGCGATTGCAGTAGACGCTGCAGGACTTTTCACATTTGGCAAGTAATCGAGCTTCTTGACCTGCACAACAGCCCTTGCTCGCTCTAAGTAGCCCTGCTAGTTGTCCTCTTCATATGCCGCATCAGGACAAATGTGGCGACAACAGTGTTTGATCCGCACCAGCAAAAGTTTCCACCAGGCCTTCTCCTGGCACGGCAACTATGAAACGTGCCATCTCTCGGCCGAATTTTGCGTCGTGCAGTTTGTGGAACAAGGGCATACGGCAGTGAGGCTGGTGTAGACGTTGGGGCCGTCTCAAATGAAGCGCCAACCCCCAAGACAAGCCATCTTCAACTTTGGAGATGAGGATGAAGGGTCCCAATTTTGGACTTGTGCTAACTGTAAATGGGCAAGGTCCCGTCAACGGTTCGTTGGCCACCGTCCATCCGCAAAAACCCCATCGGCAATCCAATTCTCAACCCCACGCCATCCGACAACATCGTAACCAAGACAGATGGGCCGGAATCACGCTACAAATTCCGAACAGGAAGACAACGGGCTCTGATTGTGGGTTGGCAAATCCATGACTCGAGCCAAAACAACTCATCGCAACTAAGCAAGTCTGAGGGAAGAACGCGCGGGAGCAAGTCGGGCGCAGAATAGCGGCGCATAGTTGTGTCGGGCAGTTCCATCTCACCGGCAACCACGTTACCGAAGCCCAGCTTCGTCGGCTTTCAGCCATGGGTCTCATTTCCAAAGCCGTCTTCTCGTCTCTCGTGGGGACAACGAGTCTTGCGGCTTACCTGGCCGCCAAGAACCCCGTCATCTCTCCCCTCGCGGCTTCCGACCCGATTTGGACGTCGAAGCTATTCAAGCGATACAATCCATCCGCGAACCCCGCGACTCAGGATGTGTGCATCAAGCGCGTGCCGCTTGACAAAATCCGACCCGAACTTCTCAAGAACCCGGGTGATCTTGTCCTAGAATACTGCCGTGGTATTTGGTCCGGCTACGGTAAGCTTGGTTGCGCGTTTGCATCATGACCACGTGTCCAAGGGCTAAATCTGGATCAGGCTTCGAGGTTCAGCGCCGCTATCTTCAGTGGAAGCACTACGGCCCCGAAACTAGCACCCAGTTATGGACCAAGGAACAGCTTTCCCAGAGCACCTATGAGAAAGGAACCTGCCTCGTCGACCACTTTGAGGTTGTGGAAAAGACACCCACGTCCATCACGGTACGTTGCGGCGACTCCCCTCGCAACCAGTCCTTGCGAGGCGGCGACGGCCTGTTTGTAATTGGCGCCGTGGTGGATGATACGCGGGCCGAGGTCGAACTCACCTTGAAAAGTTGTCTGTTCTCGAGCCAGGGCGAGGTATTGGGAGTGAAGGGACCGATGCCGCCTTGGATGGAGGAGTTACATCAGTGGTATGCACGTATTTGGTCCGAGTCTGGATCGCGGCGCCTGTTGAAGTAACACAAAGACTGGCATGCTTTGGTAATTTATATCCTCTTGATCGCTCAACCGCCTTCGGCAGCTTTAGTAGTAACCGGACCTGCACCGCCCAGTCAGTTTGTCATGTAGGGCACTGCAATGATACTCCTGCAATATGCAGCTTCAAGGGTACCTTTTAGTGATCGGATGAAACATGTCCACCACCTTGTCTGGAGAGTGATTTGGACCGCATAAACGCAAGTAGGTGTGCTGTACGGCGTATGGACAGATAGTCAAGGGGCCTTTAACGACGCAACTCCAGAACAAAAAGCAGGTGGCTGTTGACGGTAAATTGATGTCTCACCGACAGCATGTCGGTCGCTCTGCTAGATGACCAATCGTTGGACCATCCAAGTGTCCAAGTGCCGGTGTGCCACACCGCGTTTCCTTGTTGTCTCACAGCGCGTATATCAACTTCGGCATGTTCAGAAGGACATGCCGGCTTGAAGCCGTCGGACACACGCCGTTCGTTTCCTAGATCGGCTTTGGCACAATAGCGGAGAAGGTTTATATGCCAAGATTGCTCACTGCCACCGCGTACCAACATCGTCTACACCCATTTTTGCTTCTGCAGGCATGGGCCGTATATTGACCAGCCGACAAGCTGAAGAGCTGTGCGTCTGCATCATGATTTACGACCGAGATGTGCACTAAAGCCTCCTTAGGCACAAATCCATCATTGCATACCTGTCAGCTAATGATAAACATGTCACGTCGGATACGCTCCGCAAGGAACTTGGTCTTGAAGAGAATGTATTCACCGCGGACGTCACCAAAAAGTACGAGAATTTGCTAGAAAAGAAATGGACGAGTACTGTCCGATTGCAGAGAAAGGCAGGTAACTGCGCAAGCACGCTCTATCTCCCCTTGGTCGATATCCAAGCCAGATACATCTAGCAGCTAACTTGTTCCCGTCGTAGATAATGGAGCTTGAATCTCGAAACGCGGCCTTGCAATCGGACCTCGACGGCGCCATTCAGGAAACCTCGAAGCGAGAAGACCCTTCCTGTTGGCTGCCTGAATCACCACAATATTCACTGCAGGGTCACCAGGGCGCGGTAAACTGTGTCGCTTTCCACCCCAAGTTTTCTTCCATTGCCTCTGGATCAGACGACTGCACAATAAAAATATGGGACTGGGAATTCGGTGAGCTGGAACAGACCATCAAGGGCCACACGCAAGCGGTCCGAGGCGTTGACTATGGCGGTCCCCAAGGCGGCACCCTTTTTGCTTCATGTAGCTCCGATCTTACCATCAAGCTCTGGGACCCGACGGACAACTACAAGAACATCCGCACCTTGTATGGCCACGATCATAGCATTTGTTCCGTGCGCTTTGTATCTTCTAGCGACGGAGAATGGCGTCCTCGACAACTCGCTAGTGCAAGCGGCGATCATACTATTAAGCTGTGGAATATTGAAAATGGGCATTGTGTCAATACACTGCGAGGTCACACTGATTGGGTCCGGTCGATCTACCCGTCTGCTGACGGCCGAATCCTCTTATCAGCGGGCAATGACCGGACGGCTCGCCTGTGGGATATATCTTTGGCCAGCCCCGAGAGCACGTTGACTTTGGTTGGTCATGCTCTCGGCATCAATTGCTGTGCTCTTGCGCCGGTAGCTGCACACCCGTACTTGGCATCAATGGCTCCCTCAAAAGCACCGGCGGTTCCCAAGGGTGTAGCTGAATATATCGCCACAGGTTCTCGTGACAATACGATTAAGATATGGGATGCTCACGGCACTTGCATAAGAACGCTGATCGGCCATAATAACTGGGTGACTGCGGTTGTGTTCCATCCCGGTGGCAAGTATCTGCTTTCAGTAGCGGACGACAAGACATTGCGATGCTGGGATTTAACTCTGGGACAATGCATCAAGGTATTGGAGGGCATTCATGAGCAATTCATCACTTGTCTTCAATGGGTTCCGCAAGTGGCAAAGAGCATACCTGCGTCTAACAGCGACAGCTCGGTTGCAACGCGGAGTGCAAAATTGAAGATGGGGTCTCCGGATGACCAACTTCGCTGCATTACTGCCACTGCAAGCATGGACATGACAATCAAAATATTTGCAAGCTGACGGCCGAAAAGGGATCGTGTTGGTATATGAGCTCGGGTCTTGTTCACCATTGAAGTCACTCGTGGATCCTGGTCCACAAGCTACGGGTTTTTGTAGTATTCCAAGTTGATTATTTTATGAACATTTCCCCTTTGCTTGCTTCTCACATGTGGCCCTGGTTCCTGCCAAGAACCCACATGAAGTTGTACCTAAAAGACATATACACATTCCACTTGGATGGAATTAGAAGACTGACGACATCGGGTCTTCCGTCAAGTGGTTGTTTTATTTCATTTACATATGTTGCTGACCTTCGCCCCAATACGCCGTGACCATAAGGCCATGGCGTTGCCTCTGTATTGTTGAACTTGGTGCTAGAGAGTGTGTCTGCGTGTATAAGGCCGACTTCGAGATGCTGTGGCATAATGGAGTAAACAATAGTGAAAAAACCTAGTCAGATGCCCAATGGCCTGCCTGTGACCCTTGAGGCCTATCAAGCATTCTCTCTATCTAACCGGAAGCAGACAAAGAAGCAAGGACAGCGAGTATCCTTTCATGGCGGTTGTTCATGACTGAGCTGACAAAGAATCAGCATGTTGAGCCCAGAGGCCATGTCGCCGCCGCATCAAGTCATTTTTAAGCCTCCACAGCCCAGGTCAAGTAGACGACAGCTCAGCAGCACTGCAGGCTACTACTAAGAGCCAAAAGTTGAATTTAAATGCTAGTCGATGGACTTTGGAAGTGCCCATCAAAGGACCTTTGTGTACCAGGTGGAAATGAGTCCGCTTTCCTGGACTTTCCCTCCTCTACTTAATTGTACTCATGCTGTCTCTGACAACAGACACGTGAGAAGTAATTCTAGGAAAAGTCGTAGGTCTAGTTTATGTCAGCACGTCCTTCTCAAACCAAGGCATTGACAAATCTTACCAGATCGTACCACGAAACGCCAGCGTAGGTAGCCGCGCTCTTGCCATGGTTCTTGAACCCCAGTTTCTCATAGTAAGGGACCAGTCTGTCGTAAGTCAAGATGGCAATCCTCTCGACTCCATGCAGTTTCTTCACTTGCTCAATATACTTTCCCATCAGGAGCTTCCCCAGCCCCTGCCTTTGGTAGTCGGGTGAAACGGCCAGGGAGTGCAACGCGACACTGGTCCCTGATGGCTGATGCCCGGCGTCGGCCACGGCCCTCGGGTTCGTCTTCCAATCCTTGGGATAGTCCATGTCTTGGTCGACTATGAGCGTTGCCTTGGCCCTGGTCGCAATCGTGTGAGCAACCAATATGCCCTCATTGTCCTGCGCCTCGGCAGATGAGAGGACCTGGACTGTGCTCGGATCGGGCGCAGTCGCGTCAGGGTTTCTGAGAAACAGCCCGTAACAAAGCTTCGGGCAGGTGCAAAGCCTGTAGTCAATCTTGATCAATGCGACCAGACGTTAATCGCTGGTTACATTGCTAGGTTCAGTGAGCGGGAGCTGCGGTACCTTCTCGTATGTCGCGGCCTCTGACGGCGGGAAGGCAGCAGATTCTAGCGCCGCGCAGCGATCCAGATCCAGAGAGGATAAAGGGCGAATGTAGGCCGCCATGGTCGGAGATTTGAGAGGGATTCTGTGACTACACCGGCTCAAGCGAGTTGCGGTAGGAGGTATGCGCCGCCTTTCACATGGAGTATTGGCACGTAGGTTTCGAACCACGGGTTGACGACGACGACACACGGCGACACCAGCACATCCGAGACCGCACGGATTCCATGGGCAGCTCCGCAAGATCTGGGGAACGGAGCAATGGAATGATGATGACTCATTGATGAGCCAGATGAGCCCCGCAACTTGAGACTTCAGAGTTCAAACCACGCCGACCACGGAAGCTGAAGTGACGATGAAGAGGGCCCTGTACTAGTTGGTGGTTTAGACAGGACTCAGCCTAGATTTCTGATTTGTCCGGATGAACGTGGGTTGACAAACACGACGTGTCTATTGGGCTCTATTATAAAGCGGAAGATCAACACCCCAAGCTCGTAGTCGAGCATCCAACCCCGTGCGGCGTGGAATGTCACCTTGCAACGTGCAAATATATGGAGAAGAAAATTGGAGAAGACATGCATACATACGTGGACAGAACTGTTATAGGCCTGCCAGCTACACTACCAAACGTGGAGAACTCTCCTGGTAGTGTACTCGCTATCTGGTATGATATGAATACTATCACAAGAACACACGCATATGGGTTGCTTTGGCGCGGCAAGTGCCAAGATGAGTCATGGAGCTGATACGGTCAAAAAGCCAAGTTCCCGTAACAACATCAAGTGTCAACGTCCAGAGCGCAGCATAGAGAACCGCTTAAAATACGAATACCGCCTAGTAGACATCATTTCCTGAAACTCTTCCAAAGTTACCATGCAACATGGCAGTCAACACGGGGACATCCAAATCACAGAGTTCAATGTATCTATTCCTAGAGACTATTGTAGTGTAGAAGTGAAAACTGTGCAGTGCGCTTGGCTTCTTGAACCATCACAACTTCGCCTGGCGGGTGCCCTGGCCACATACAGATATGACACCGCTCAGAGCGCCAACGGCAATCACCTCACGGGAGGCGAAATGTGCACGGCGTAAGGAAAAACCTATGCCCATTGCCAGTCTCCGAGAGACAAGTCTCCACTAAGCGACGACGGTCCCTCAAACCGATCAAACCACTGATATATATCGCGCCACTTGGCGACCTCTGCGGTTTTCGACGACCCCTCACAGTGGGCTTTGAGTTTGAAAGCTAACACCGGGAAAAACTCGTGTTAGCACCATATATCTGTCATACAAAGCACGGGGCATAACATACTTGCGATCTCCCATGGATCTGCCCAGTGACTTGTACCCTGCTCGGAGTAGACTGAGACTTGTCGAATATCTTTCGGAGACACCACAGACTTTCCAAAGACACTTTTCAGGTCAACAGGCTTTGTAACGGAGTCACCGCGCGAAGGAGATGACATGAGCAGGATATCGCTCGGGTTGAATGAGTCGTCGCTAAAGTCGAGCATGATGTCGTCATTTGTTCCGGCTCCGCTACCGCTATAAACCCCTTTACCCAGCTCAAGATACGCCTCGAGCGATTTAAACTTGCTGCAGGCACTCGGCTGCCCGGGCGGCATGACGGCGATTGTCTTGGTCTTTTCATCTGGTGTCTCCCATTGCCAGTCACCAAGGTCAATATGTCCATTAAAATGGGACGAGCCATACTCTGGGTTGATGTCGCCAAACCGGTTGAACCAATCGTAGACGTTGTCGTATTTTTTGATAATAGCCCTCCTCGATGACTCAACGCACGTTCCGTAAATGTAAAGACCTGTTCGGCGCGATATTAGGCCAAGCGTCCTCCTGCCGTGGCTTGAGGGAAAACATACCTCCAATCTCCCACGAATCCGGATTCTTCTGTTGATCCTGCACCGAGTATAATTTAAACGATTTAACAGCCTCAACAAGGACTTCCTTTGATCCGAAGGCCTTCTCAAGGTCCACCGAGATTGTTGCCTCGTCTCCGCGCGAGGGATGTTTCAGGATGGTTTGGTGATCGTGCTTGCCGAACTCAATGACAATGTCATCGACGGTGCCGGCGCCATCAAAGCCCCAAACCCCGTTTCCGAGAGTCAACTTGACTTCAAGGGACTTGAAGTAGTTGCAAGTTTCCACGTCCGTTTGCTCCGCTTGTTGGACAGCCTCACATAAGCCGTCCTGCGTCTGCTGTCTGCAATACACGGAGACGGCATTCTCGCAGCTTCCTGGTATTTCCGTAGCTTGGACCTTAGCCCGTCCCCAGAGTGATGGACCCAGACCTAGATGCGCAGCCATGGCGCGAATCAACGCCGGGCATTCTCCATTCGCCAGATTGTCTTCGTTGATACCATATCTTGCAAGCCTCAGGTTTGCCTCAAGAGATGACAGATAGTGCACCACTATCGAGTCCATTGACAGAGCTGCACATAAGAGACATGTCAGCATGATGCTCCTGAAGCAAATTTCGCACTTTTCTTACGGTTCGTTACAGCGGGGAGGAGCTGGGCTCGTCCCTCTTCCTCTCCCCAGCCAATTAGGCGCCTAAACGTCTGTCGTAAATTCTCATTCAGGATGCTTGATGGGCCGGTTAAGAAATGGAGCAGTGCCCGGGTGAAGTGGTCGGCAGCCACGCTGTTGAGATATCGTTGGTCCATTTGCCGCATCTCAGGGACCCCGTAGTTGGTCTGTCCAGATATGGCGCCGAATTGGTTCCATTGAGAGTTGTACCCGTCATTGACAGTCCAGCCAGCCTCGTTAGCTTGTTCACGATCCTCAACAGCCTGATATCTCCGCACTTGCGAGAAGAATACACCATAGGCAGAAAGATGGGAATGGGAGTCTGAGCGTATTATGTGTGGCCCTAGAGCAAGTTCGACAATCACTGTATCGCCATTTGAGAACAGGTCATTCACCGAGGTTTCCAGTTCCAATCCGAATTCTCCAATCTGTGTTCGGAGTGCGTTAGTATTGAAAAGGACGCCTTGCCGTTGGAAGTTCTCCCAGTCCCTTTGTGGGACCCATAGGTATCCATTTGCGGGCTCATCCATTACGACATTGAAGGAGGTGGTTGGTGATGAAGCTGACGAGGATGGCGACGGCGTTGCTGGTACTGCACCAGCGTAATTCGGCCAAAGTATCGAGCATAGGCCTACAGCCCAGCCCATGTAGATCATGGTTGCTGAGACAAAAGGATATCAAAGGCCGTTTGCCGTTCCGGAATACAAGGTGCTGTGCAATTCCAAGACCAGTCCGGTTGGAGGCATTGAACAGATTATATAGTTTGAGGCATCCAGTAAATAATATCAACGACAGCTGTCATTATGAATACGGTCCCAATAGTTTCACCTTCAATCTATTAAGCTGCTTGGAGATTGGCACGCTATTAGCTTGGCCGGTTATATCGGTGCTTCATAATGCAGGGACCTAGTAAAAAAATACCCGGAACACGCCTCGACGTCGTATCTCAACATCATCCTCTATTGTTATTGTATCTTGATATTTCGAGCTCATTGTACATGGGTAATGGGACTGTTTATATGGGAAATTGCATGATCCTCATTAATATTTCCAACCCCTTCATGATATATAGGTCGAGATGCTTAGTTGACGAGTAGTGATAAATAGTACAGATGGCTTGTAGTTAATTGATTTCCATATAACATCCATATGCGAAGCCTAGTCGATGCAAATTGCTATATAGTACTCCTTACATATCCACGTGCCCAATCATGCATCTACATAATTCGCTTCACCGACGGGGCCCCCACAAAGTCTTTCGGTAGCCTAAGCGATGTATATCAAGAATGCTAACTTTATATATAAGCTCTAATAAGTGGTTATCCGTTGTCGTCTGATTGGCCGCCAATCCTAAACCTGGAGCTAATAAATCTTTCCGGTGGCCCAAGGGATATGAAAGCCAACCCGGCGATCGTGCCAAGCTCTTCGTATCAGACCATGAGGCAAGCGATGGTCTTGGCATCTATGCTAGTTGGCAATACTCGAGTTCTAGGCCTGTCTTTAGATACAGAACGGTGAATAGTTTTGTTCCATGGGGTGCAAGCTACAAAGCCAAATGGTGCGTAACTTGCCAAGCAGTTCCAGCGTCACATGGGAGTGAGCATCATTGCGTCAAATGCACCAATCACTTCGAGTACGAATTATGTGAAGTATATGAAAAATATAGACATGGGTATTGCAGCGTATCATGTAAGGGGCTTCGGCTCCTCGGCGTTTCGTCTCTTCGACTGAGCGGAAGCCACTTGTTACGATCCGAGCTGCAATAACAGGCCCGAGGCCATCAGTCAGAGGCAATTGGCGTCATTATGCTTGGGGTAAATCAGATGCCAGATGAAACGACTCGCATACGATATCAAGAATAGTCTGCGGAAAAGACTACGGGAGGTCACCCCAGTACACTTGATTGCAGCACGAAGTGTAATTCGTTGCGCAAGAGGCCTCATGGTAACATGAGAAGCTGAATGCGCATGACTCGGTACGGCAAGGGAATGAAAAGACGTTAGCATAACTCGGGACGGCGTTACAAAAAGGTGACCTGGGAGCTTTTGACACCTTGAGACAAGCATCGTACTATGTCGCCGCCACGCATGGCAGAGGACTAATTATATCAGAGGTCGTGATGCATGGCTGCCCTTTCTTGGAGACTGCAGGCTGGCTGAACCGCAATTGTGTTTTGAACGAAGCGCTCAATCGTGCCTAGTGACTGAAATGCTGAGTTGAAATCATGGGAGAACTGATAGATAGTCCGCCAGCGCCGCTTTGGACTTGCCTATTCGCTGGCATACTTGGACTGGTTTCAGACAGAGAGGCCCATCTGTGCCTTGATTCTACAAAGTCTGAGTAGCCATGCTCTCGGGCGGCGCATATTCTGTACTTTCACGGCGCAGTGAGCCGGCCTCGTCTAGTATAAAAGGGCGCCAGAAAGCTCAAGTATATCGGCATAGATCGCAGGGCTGAAGGACGGACGGCAATATCGGGATTGGTCCGCCGGTGCCAAGGTTGTCGTTCGGTTTAAACCATGTTGTGGCAAACATGCGTGTCGGAACGGCCATATTAGGCAGCGCAACTGCATATTCAAATGCCACCCATTACGCACCGGTGTGTTCCAATACTAACATCTCTAAGTTGTCGTCTGCATGGACCCAGCTGGTGCAGGCACTGTCCACCTTGCAATCACCAAGCAGCACCATCGGCGGGAAGCCGACTCTGTTAGGGCCCACATGGTCACGTGTGAGGCACCAGGTTATTATTGCTACGCTGCCACCCTCTAGCTAGCTCTTCTTCTTCTTCTTTTATATGATTAACTTCTTCACTTCTTTTAGCTCTCTTATAATATAACTTATTAGTTATATTATAAGCTCTTATAACCTTATTATAGCTCTCTTTTATAAGCCCTTATATAGTGGTAATTATACTTGCTTACTCTCTTAGTTAAAACATTAAAATTTTAGCGTTATAAGGCCCCTTAATCCCAGAGAAAAAATATTACTAACTCCACTAAAATCTATTAAATTTTATCCTTAAATTAAGCTAATCTCGTTTATACTCTTTAGGTTATTAAGAGAATTCTCCCTAGTATTTACGCTACTAGTACCCTATAGTTTAAGACCTTAAAGCCTTAACCGTTTCCTAGACTAAGAAATTTCTTAGTTACTTAGGTAGGCTAAGAAATAAAGATATATTACCCTTTAAAATTACAAATAAAGTTAAGTAAATTTTATCTTTAAATGAAGTTACTTAATTAAAAGACTCTTATATTATTATTACTCTTTAGTATAAATTAATAATATAATTTATTATTAACCTATTTTACTAGACCTTACTTTAATTATATTACGTACGCTA